CCCCCCCGGCGGCGGCGGCGGACACCGGCAAGCGGTGCATGTGCGCCAGGATCGCCGAGCAGCAGCGGCAGCGGGCTTCGGCCGCGAGGCGCCTGCGCCAGGCGGAGGACGAGCGCAGGCTCGAGAGGTTGGTGGCGGGGAGGACGGCGATGATGATCCGGCCGCTGGACCTGTCGGTGAACAACCACCTGCAACAGCTGCGCGCGTCGGTGGACGCGTCGTGGTCGTCTTTCTCGACGGCCTGGGACGCGAGACGGGCGAGGGGTAGCGGGTCGGGAAGCACCGAAGGCGGCGGGCTGCACTCGGATGCGAAGGCGACTGCTGCGCCGCCGCTACCCCCCGCCGCCGGGTTCGTGATGCCCCCCTGCACCCACCGCGGAGCCCCCCCCGCCGCCGGCAGTGGGAGAGGGCGACGGCACACGGCCGTCGAAGAGGGGGAGAGAACAGCAGCGGCGGAGGCGGAGTGCCCGGAGTGCGCCGCGATTGCCGCCGCGCACGTGCTCGCCGGCGCCGGCGCCGCCACCACCGGTGGACGGCTGCAACAGCAGCAGGGGAGAGGAACCGACGTCTTCGACGTCTGGGCGGGTTCCTCGCTGGGGGTTCTCAACGCAGACGCGCTGCACAGGTCGCTGACCTTCCTGCAGCCCCGGGACCTGCTAGAGCTGGCGCAGGCGTCGAGGGGGGCCCGGGAGGCGGCGGACTCGCAGCTGGTGTGGAGGGAGGTGTGGTGGGCGAGGTTCGGAGCGATCTGGGAGTCGGAGATCTGCAAGAAGGCGGCGCGGAGATGGCACCTGCACGATTGGAACCCCAAGTCGTCTGCGGTAACTCAGGTCAGAGTTCTCAGCTGTTTTTTTTGGCGGGGGGGGACGGTGGACGGATGGGGGGGTTGCTCGTGTATTGAAGCGTTCGTTCATTCTCCGTTGCGTTGGTGCCACCTGGAGTTGTTGGGCCGGCGGCAAGTGCTGGGTGTCCATGCTGCTCATCGCGTGTGTTGTTGGTTGGTTGCGTGGTTTGTGCCAATGGCGAGTCGGTCTGTTTGCGACACCTCAGAACAGATACAATTGTACAACCAACTAGACACTCTGAAATTTCATCCGTCCTCCCCGCAAACTATGTTGTTCCTACCCCCCCCATATCGATAGGATAGGATACAAGGATACAAGGTAGGCACAACTGTGTTGAGCCCACTTTGGCAACGTAGGGAAGAACGATTGGTCATCGGTGATCGGTCCTGTAGGAACAATGCTCCGTCCTCTCGAGGACGCTGGTCTAACAGCTAAGGCATGAGTACCCCCCCCCCCCCCCCCCCCA